TCTCCCTCCCTCGCTCTCCCTCCCTCCCTCGACCAATCCCAAACCTGTCGGACTACAGATTTGAGGTTTAGTGCTTCCCGAAACCATATGTCCCAACCCCGAAAACCTGAAATCCGAAGCCTGCGGTGCTCGGCGATGTCTCCTTCGGAGAGATCTGCGGATGATCCCTCAGCCAGGGGTTCAGGACATGAGGCTCCTCAGGCTCTTCGGATTTAAGATTTTGGTTTAAAGTTTAGAGCTTAGTAGGAGTGTTGTTCTGGAAAACAGCGTTTCATGAAACGCCTGACATTCGATTATCCTTCTCCTCTATAGTAAGTGCCAGAGCAGGTCATTAAGTCATTAAGGCTTTGAAGTTTAGGTGCAGGCCAGAGGTCATCACAAAGAATCGATTTCACTGGTCTTCAGGTTGAGGCGATGTTTGGAATCTGGGGCTGAGGGTTTGCGTGTTGGGATTCAGAGTTCACAAGGAAGTGTTCAGGCTTCGGGCTCTTGGGCTTCGGACGTGCAGCATGTGTACTTGGGTTGTTGGTAGATTCGCTAATGTTTGGCAAGAATTTCAAAGCATTCAAGTCATCTTCAATTTTCTATGGACCAGCTTCCAGCCACGCGTACTCCTCAATACCAGAAAGCCACAAGCAACCCTCGTAACCCCAAGCCCTATCTCAGACCCTGCCTCCTACACTGTCTACCCGCCGGACCTGTCCAAGGCTTTGCAGCCTTAACCCTCCACTTCCCTAAACTAACCTAAGGAAGGCAACACAAAACCTCTGACTGATAGATCCGCGAAGGGTGCCAGCTCTTCTGAAAAGTTTCTCCCCAAATCCCCCAATGATGTTCTCACCATTGTGGTTATGGATGTGGATGAAGAGGTCAGGGTTCGGTGTTATAACCATGAACGAGGAACATAAGCCCTGAGCTCATCTTAGTCTTTAAGCCCACGCCAAAAGCGAAACCCGAACCCCTCCACCCCGAAGCCTTGCGTTTGGCGTTTCGAATTGAAACAACTCCCCGCTTCCCGCCTCCAGAGACCGTGAGTGACCCCTGACAGCAAGACTGTAGCAACACCCGAGAACAGCTCGAACCCTCTCCCTTCAACACCTCAAGCGTAACCCTCACCCTGAAAACCCTGGCCAAAGACTGTCCTCAGCTTGCAGCCAGGCCGCAACTGGGTGAAAGCTTCCGGATGCAGCGATGGAACGATGCGCATCCGAGGCTTTGTTAGGTTTAGGAGCGCGTGCTTCCGTGGGAGGTTTCTTTCGTAATTTTAGGCGTGTCAGTGTTACGGATAAGAGGAGTCTGAGCTTGGGTCTTGTCAGCGTAAGCACTTCAGGGTGTTGGACTCACTGTTCCCAAAGCCACCCCTCCTCTTAAGATGCATCTTCCATCGTCGGAGCTTTGATGTGGGCTAAGTTGTTCGGGGGGTAGGGGCATATTAAGGTTCTCCGAACTATCCTGCAGACTTGCTGTTCGCAGAAGGGTGTCTCATCTTGAAATAGACCCTACACGATAAATCCTTAAAGCCCCATCATTGGCCGCCGCTTCCCTGGCGCTTTGCCGGGAGGAGGCGGTGCCCGACTTTGGAGCGACTGCCCGGGTTTCCTCAGCTTAGGGACGCAGGATTCGGGCTGTTGGAGTTTAGGGGATTTTAGGGTTTGGGGTGCTTTTGGTTTTGGGGTCTATGGCTCGGGATGTTCAGCGCACCCCTCTTCCTGAACCAACAGTCAGCACTGCCATCGCCAAAGATCTCGTAGAGCTTTCGGCTCTATGTAGATCAACTCGAAACACGGTAGTCATAAACAGCAGGGTCAGGGGAGGACTTGGAGGGTGAACACTTTTACTAGGAGGCTCCACCTAAAGCCTAAACCCAAGACCTGACGTTTGGGGAGTCTGGGATTCAGGGTTCAGCTGGTCATCGACAGAAATATACATGAATGTGTGTGGATTGGATGTCGGGCCAAAATGCCTAAGTCTAGATGCAAGACTCATTATTTTGATTATTGTACTCACTACTCAGCTACTGGATGGTATAGGACTCGCTATCCGCTTGACAACCCCGAAAAGGAATCTTAAATGATTGCCTATGGCTTCGGGAAGTTTCATAAAAGACTCATATCATGCAAGCTTGCCAGTTATTCAGGCGTCTATACTACTTGAAGGATATGACTTGAAAGCCATACTGTTTCACTGGAACGGGTAACTAACCACCGAGTCCTTGATCGTAAACCCTCGACATCTGCTCGAACCCTTTTAGGGCTCCAGGCTTGCAGTCGCCTGCCGACGCAATTGAAGGCAGCAACCAAAGCTGATAGGAGGCAACGCGACCGAGAGGGTCTACGGACAGAGGAAAGTTTTCGCGTAGTACTTCTGTAGGGAAGTTGCGCTTCACAGTAGAGGGCTTGAAAACTTATTATTGGGCCATTGCGTTCTATAGAGATGCAGAGACTATGTCGGCATCGAAACGATGGCTCCTCTGGTCCCAAACTTGGGATCAAACCCTTCACGCTCAAGCCTTAAAGCTGAAATCCAGCTGAAACCCACTCAAACCTCAACCTCAAGTACTCAGACCCTAGACCCCAAACACCCTGAACACTCGAACCCCTGGAAAAGGAAGTCCGCAACCCTACACATCCCTAAACTCCCGGATTCTGTGTTCTCTTCTAGCTCTAAGCGGCGTGAAGTCTGCCAGGTCTGCGTGAAGTGCATTCACAGAGTTCTGAAGCCCTTGCACACGTAGCTCTTGGGGTTGAGACTTTAGGATTGAGAGGCTTTGGGTTTCAGGATATGGGGCTTTCGGGCTTCGGGCTTCGGGATTGAGGACTGAGGCTGAACTTGTTCAAGCTTGCACCTTCTTGGTTGATGCTTCCGAGTCTGAAATCCGGCGTGTTTCTTTTGCAGACATCCAGCCTCAAGTGTCCGACAAGAAAGCTTAGGAGAGCTTCTGCCTGCTTGGGGTACAGGACAGACGACTTTTGACTTTGGGACTTTGGGGCTCCCGCAGGGTCTTTTCGGGCTTCATTGTTTGGGATCTGGGGCCTGCGCACATGGATTGTTGGGAGTGGCCTCCTTCCATTAAGAAGAGCTTTGCGAAACACAGAAGCGCTCCCTCTGTCCCATCTGAAAGCACAAACCGCGAAAGCTGTGAAGTTCCCTGGATATTCATGGTCTGAGAGATGCCAGGGCACTACCAAGGTGGCCTGAGCTCAAAGCACGTCAGATGCTGAGCTTGCATGTCCCGTATGGTCATGGTTGGTACTGCACAGTTCGACTGCCGGCAGCACGGGCTGGGCCCGGGGCGGATGACCGTATGAACGTCGACTCCCTGCGCCACTCCCCTGCAGCGAGAGGCTCTGCAACAGCGAGGACCACAACGATGACGAGGACCAGGCCGAGGACTGAGGAGGATTAGGAGGAAGAGGAGGAGGTGGAGAAGGATGATGGGCGCCGTTGATGATGCATGGTGATGCTGACTTTGACACACCATCAACCCGAAGACCCCGGCGCAGATTGCACGAATCGGCCTGTACCGCATGCAGCCCTCCAGGAACTCTTCGTAGCCTCTCAGCGCTTTTGAATCTTTAGCAAGCCTAGAGCCTATGGTGTTCACGTGACCGCAGGCTTTGATAGAGCTTTTAGCCGATTCAGCCGTGCTTTCGCGATGGGCCTTTCTCTGTCATTGGATTTGGGTCTGCGGGGCCCTGCGACAAAACCTCGGCAGAGTGGATGCTCCGGCCAAGCCCGGCACTGACTTCCCCGGAGTCGTCGACGTCCTTGGCGCCGGGAAGATGCGATTTCAGGGATCATCGACTCCAACAATACTAGAGATTTAGGGTTTAGGGCTCAAGTTGTGTTGGACGGGTCTCTTTCTCTACGGGAGGGTTTGCGGTTCTGCATTTCAGGAACAAGTACAGGAATAAGGGTGTAGGAGTTCCTGAATCGGGGACGTATCTAACCCAAGACTCTCCAGGTTCGTTGGTCTTGAAAGGCTCGGGACTTGACGGGGGTTCATAACATGTTCGAACGTGGATCTTGAGCCACAGAGCTAAAAAAACCAGAATAGGAGCAATACTCGGGATGGCAACAATGGCAACAATCACGCGCAACACCTCAGATGCACCGGTGGCAACAATAGAAATGACCTCATGAACAAGCATGCGAATTGTGGAAATCGTAGCCATGCTAGCAATAGGTCCAATAGGTTGAGGCGACAAGAAGAGAACAGAGATGGTAAACATGGTAAAACAACTACAAGTTCTTGTGATGGAGTAGGCCTTGTGGCCGCTAATTTCAAGCCGTATCATCAAGAAGCCTGCACAGCGGAGCTTGGGGCTTGAGGACTGAATCGATGCGTAGGGGAGGTGCTTACAAGCCGTGATGGGCAAGGCACCCAGAATCGCACGACCTATGCGAAGCATGAACCCTCAGTTTTCTGAACCCATAGCAACATGTGGGCGCACAGATTCTCCACAAGGCCCCCGAGCTCAAAAAATGGAATCTGGGGACCGGGTGAACAGTCAAACCGCTCGATTGAAAAATCTGCTTGAAGATCCATGGGTACTTGAAGGTCAGGTTAGAACCTGAAGACTTGTGCCATATCTAATTTCTATTCTAAGTGCATGTGCTATACCCAAGCACCTATGATAGCCGATCACCCTACAGGCCTATCAGCCACCAAGCCCTCCCCCTGAACATGCCAACCCTGAGAACCTCAGAGCCTTTTCACCCAGGAACCAGCAGCTCCATGAAGCGCTGCTTGTCGTAGACATCAAAGCCCAGAGTCCGGAAGAAGGCCTCCATGGTGGCCTCGCTGCGCTTGTTTCTCTTTGGAAACCGGGGAGCCGGCGATTAAGAGGGCAGGGGTTTGGGCCAAGGCTCTGGTTAAGAAGGACGTAAATTCCACTTGAAAGTGCTTGGGTTCTAGCTCAACAGGACGTATTCTTTGCCTGAAATGGGCGCAAGTTCTACTTGGAAAGGGCTGTCGGGTTCAAGGTCTCCAGAACCATAGACAACGTGGCCTAGGCTTTAAACTTCAAGCGGGTTTAAGGTCTGGGGGCTTGGGGTCACGTGGTTTAGTGCTGGGGTTCAGGGGCACTCAAGATTAGAGATCTAGGTTCACGGACGAGCAGGGAATTCGGGCTTCTTAATCATCAATTGCTTTGGGGCGTGTGCTGCAGGCTCGCATACTGCTGCGGGTTGAGGATCTGCCAGGGCTTTGTCTCAGGCTTTGGGAGCTCGGTTGTGAGTTTGTGGTCGTCTGCGGGGTCCATATTGCTGCGCAGGGCGGAACATTGTAGCGCCCCAGCACCCACTATGAGTGGATCTGCAGGCTACGGTCACGAAGGACACGTTGTGCAAGGTGGCCATCAAGCAGAAAGGAGGCTCGTCAGGTGGTCATGTTGAACTTTGGTATGGAGGACATGCTGACATCGCGTACGGTAGAGGCATTTGCGGCTGGTTGGTTTCTTGAAGTCACTGGCGTTCCAGATGTGCATCATCAAGTAGAACAAGGGCTCGTCAGGCGAGGGCATCTGGATCATCAAGCGGACAGCCGACAAATAATGCACTTCCCCCGACGTGATGCCGCTCATGGGCTCGAAGGACACGCTGTGCAAAGTGTTCATGTTGAGCATTGGTATGGAGGACACGCTCGCATACAACTCGGTAGAGGATTTTGCGGCTGGCTTCAAGAAGGTGGTGGCTTTCTTTGTGCGAATCATCAAGCAGAGCAGTTGCTCGTCAGGCGATGGCATCTGGATCAGCAAATTGGAAGCTGGCAACACTGCAAGTCCTACGGAGAGGGGCTATGCACGGACGACGAGGTGTTGGACCTGATGACCCTGACTCCGGGTTCCTGAGCAAGTGAATGATGCAAGCGCGACTGAGTGTGGAGTCCAACGGCCTGCATACAGCTGTTAAGTGAGCACTGTTGATTTTATGGCAGTTGCTGTGATGTCCCAGATGTCACCTCGATGAAGGTGTTTTGAGATCCTGGGTATGTTCATTGAATAGGGATGGCCTCATCCGATACCCATGAGGAAGATTCGCACTTTCCAGTCAGGTCCAAAACTTGGACTGTTCTTTGTCTGGTGCTCTGAAAGCCGACAACGGAATACAAAGCATTCTTTGTTTGCCGAATATTCTCATGCTGTGGCCATGTGCCTTCATACTTAGTTTTGCTACGGGAGTGGGACAGCTTTCCGACTGCTGTTCGTATCCCACCCCTGTTTGATGAGCGCATACTATGTCCATACATTCTTGCGCCACCCGCCCACATGAGTTAAGTGCACCCAACACAGGCTGCGCCCGCACTGCGAACTCCATACCCCAAACGAGCCAAAAAAGCAGTGGTCGTCTGCGAATCACACCCGACCTCAGATCGTTCGCCCCCTCTACAGCCTCGTTTTGGGTCTAGATCTTTCGGATTCAGGATTCGCGTGCGCAAGATCCAGGAATCAAGCTAAGGAGGTTGAGGGTTTGGTACGTGGTGGATTGCAGCTTTGTGATGCTTTCCTGCTTCAGAAGTTCGGTTCCGAAGGTGGGCCCAAAGATGTATAGGAGTTCTTGGCTCTGGGCTTCCGGCCTGGAGGCCACAAAGACGAGAGAAGTTGCAGGTTCACAGGTCTTTACAAAATCTTCTTGATTGCTGAGACACGTCATCCAGAAAGAAGCGAAGCTCGTCGAGTGAAATTTCACCTGGGTTGCACATGTAGCTGTGGTTTCAGGACTTCGGGCATCAATGAGGATTAGGGTTCAGGGTTCAGAACATTGCGCCGTTGATTCTTCGCTAAACCTAAACTCGGACCTTACATAGCCCGCATAATATACTGACACAAACCAGGCTCCGTTGTGGTTGACATCCACAGCGTGGAAGAAAGCTTGGATCAGCGCGATGCACCTGAGCATCAGAAGCCCAAACTCTGAACACAAGCGGCAGCGTAAAACCCTGCACTTTGAACCTTGAAACATCAATCGTGTCGAGCCTAGGTCTCTGTCAAAATGACCTCAGCAAGGCACTAGCTCTAGGCTGCTCTCATGGTTTAGCGAGGTTGAAAATTATCTGTTATAGTGATTGCTGGTTCCAGCTTTTTCCGCGCGAGCATGCCTTGTATTTACGCGGCCGGTCACTACCTCTGCCATGCTGCAAAACGTAACTCTCGGATTGAAGCCAACAGCACAGAATTCAAGATGGGGATCTGGAGCTAGAGCTTTCAGAGCCCACGAGTTTCGTACGCCGGTCCAATTGAACGGCCTGAACCCTCCGAAACTCCCTTAAACTAGCACGTCAAGCTGGGCAGCTCCTCCTTCTTGTCAACCTCCTGTGGGGTTTTCAAGCCAAGGATGAAGAACTGCTTTCGTGCGAAGCTGAGATCATGTGCACTTTGTTGGCTTGGTCAGCTACACACGCATCGCATGCACATACGCATGCAGCTGTATACACGTGCGCGAACTGAAGAAGCGTCCACAGGGAACGGTCCTTCTGAATGATGTCAGAATGCTGCTTGTCGGCCGAGCGGAAGGCATTGTCAACGAAGACACCTCTTTTGGAGTGCTAGAGTTTAGAGCGCAAAGTTAAGAGTTAAAGACTCAACGTTGTTCAGAGATTTACCCACCAGAATCACCGCTTAATTGTATGGTTTACGGTTTGTCGGGTTTGGGTGGAGGCTGAGGGAAGCAGCTCAGAAATTGTCGTGATGTTTTCAAACCCCTGGCAATCAATGGCAGAGAAACCATCCTGCCTGTAATGACATTCAGGACGGCCAGCAGCGTGAAAGAAATGTATATCAGAAGCCTCACAAGAAGTGTAAGCGCACGGGGCCCAAGGTGCACGGCTCAAGGTTCAAAGTCTGCATCTCAAGCAGTAATCAGACCATGAAAGTGATTGTGGCTCACCCGGTTACTTTGTGGATGTGTCTCTGTGCGATTGTCGGCAGAGCTGGCACCAGTCCTTCAAGTACTCGCGGAACGGCTACTGCTGCTACTGTTGTCCACACAACGATGGTGATTTTAACCTTTGCCCCTATCACATCAGTATGGTGCACACTGCCGGATATGCCTTCATTCAACTGAACTTGGTGTTCCTAAACCCTCAACCCGAGACTGCCAAGATGGTGCCAAGCACCACAAGGCTGATGTTGGGCATCGCGGAGGCAATTGTGTGGCGACGATGATGATGAGGAAAACAAGGATGATGAGGATGATGATGATGATGATGATGATGATGATGTCGACGACGACTACGATAAAGATGACGGTGACGGTGACGATGACGGCCACGACGACGATGAGGATGACGATGACAGTGACCGAGCTATCATGATTCGCAGACCTGCTGCCTTGCTGAAGGCTTGGTTGTATAGTAAAACACGAAAACCTTCAGATGAAGGTGGCAAAACTAATGACGTCCCGCACTTTTTCTATCCATCGCGTTGAAAGGGACTGCAATGGGAGTGCTGTCCGCAGAGACGGGGGGGTGCAGCAACTTGGGCGCTCCCCTAGTTGCCATGACCACGGCAACAGAAACTTAATAGCGGCAAACTTTTTCTGCCATAATTCTGATTCAATCACAATCAGAAAGAAATCTGAGCGTGATGATAACGATAGCACAAGTATTGCTGCGGTCATTATAGCAGCATGTGACAGTCAAACACCAATCTTAACAATGGCGCCGGTGGAGCTGCTGGCACACCATATCATGTTGCAGGTTGGGGTGACAAGACCTACAACCGCTGCTGGAGATGGAACAACAGCAGCATAAATAACAAAGACAACAAGCAGCAGCAGCAGCAGCAGCGGCAGCAGCAGAAGACACGGTAGATGCCATTTGGTGGTAGGGGGACTACCAATAACCGTAGTAGTAGTCTAGTCGTCGTAGCTGTAGTCGTAGTAGAAGTAGAAGTAGAATAAGCAAAAAATAGAAGCAGAAGCAAAAGTAGCAGTCGAAGTCGAAGTACAAGTACAAGTAGAAGTCGAAGCCGAAGACGAAGTAGAAGAAGTAGAAGTAGGAGTACAATTAAAGCTAGAAGTAGAAGTGGAAGTAAAAGTCGAAGACGAAGTCGAAGTCGAAGTAGAAGCAGAGGTAAAAGTAGAACTAATACTAGTAGCAGTAGCAGTAGCAGTAGTAGTAGAAGTAGTAGTAATAGTAGTAGTAGTAGTAGTAGTAGTAGTAGTAGTAGTCATCATCGTCGTACTCGTAGCCGTCGTAGTAGTAGCAGTAGCAGTAGTCGTAGTAGTAGTAGTAGTAGTAGTAGTAGCAGTGGTAGTGGTAGTAGTAGCAGTAGTAGCAGTAGCAGTAGTAGTAGTAGTAGTAGTAGTAGTAGTAGTAGTCATCATCGTCGTACTCGTAGCCGTCGTAGTAGTAGTAGCAGTAGTAGTAGTAGTAGTAGTAGTAGTAGTAGCTGTGGTAGTGGTCGTAGTAGCAGTAGTAG